CCCGGCCGAGGAAGCCTGTCGTGGCGGCTGCTCGAGGGCACTGGGCTGTTTGCTGTCCGACGGGGCGGGGAGGCCGCACCCGGCCGGCGAGCTGCAGGGCAGCCGCGCGCTAAGGCAGCGGACAGAGGTACCGGCTGTCCACCAAAACCAGCACCCGCTCAGCTACACGGGATTTCAGTTCTACCCTGAGCAGCAGCTCCCAGAGAAAACCAAACCGGCCTCGAGCACCAGCGCTGTGCCTGCGCCCAGCCCCAGGGGAGGGAGGCTTGGTTCCCCTCGGCCGTACAAGGAACGCACAACAGAAAGCGGCGTAAGGCTGATCTCCTTCGAAGGTCGCTCCAAGGGGAGCCCCGGCGCCAAACTCCAAGGTATTTACATTTCATAGGCTGCCACGGGCTGAAAGAAACGCCGCCACAGAACTCCCGCGCAGCCAGAGACACGGCCCGCGCCCGGGCGCTGCGAGATCCACCCGTCCCTAAGGCTACGGAGCAGAGCCCAGGCGTGCCTGTGCCTCCCTCGCCTCAGCGACCTTCGAATCAGGAAGTCTGCGAGAGAACAGCTGCTGATCTAAAAGGCACCGTCGGCCGAAATTCATCCCTATCATTCCTATGGTAGACGAACGTACCGTGACACGTCAGTGTTTCCTATCCCAAAAAACCCCTGTAAACCTTCCCCTTGGAGAACTGCTTTGAAACACTATGTACTTTATGAGATTAACTAAGCTTTGCTTCTTCCTTTCCAATCTAAGATTTAACTTGCATTCAACTTCTAGGGCGCTAATTACTTTTAAAATCCAGCCCACACAGCCCTGCTCTGAAGCACACTTCTTTGGACTTCCTCAGTGTAGTTATTAACATTTGGTTTTTAAACAATCAAGCCCTCAAGCTCTACTGTACAAGATTTTATATTGCACTACAACGTAAGATATGGAAAGAAGAGTAATGGATCTATCAAAGCTGCTACGAAACAAAATCATTAAAAAAAACCCCCGTCATAAAGGATCATCAGTGCCTTGCTGGGGAGCAAAACACCTCAAAAACCCTTCATCCTTCCTATCGCCATCAGCCTTTGGAATAGATGCCTGAACAAGTCTTCCCAAATAATGGAAAGAAACAAAAAAAAAATAAATATGATAAATTGACTCCACTTCTGGACTCCATATACGAGACCTGGTGTAGCTACTAATCAAACTGAGAGTTGCTCAAGGCAGAAACAGGAAAGAGGTCGTTTTCTGCGGGCAGCACAACCGGTACCACCTACTTCACATCGTCTCCTTATTAATCAAACTCCACTGGCGGGAATTCAGTCCTTTGTTCCACCGGCGTCCCGAGAGCTTTTACATCTTGCCAGCTTTTTTGTTTCCAGACGTCGAAACACGGAGAATGTTTGGGGTTTCTTCCATGACTCTGACAAGCAGGTTATCGATGTAGTCTTCAAGCTCACGCACCTGGAGATCTTTCTTGGTAATCGTATCCTTCTGCTTCAAGACCAGCTGGATCAGCTCATCGTGTGTTAGCTGAGCATAAGCATAAGCAGGATCTGAAGGGTCATATTTCTGAGAGAGAGAAGAAAGGCAGGGTCATTACAGCATGGGGGCATTTCAAACAGCAACAGAACGCTACCTGGGAGCTGCCCCGGGGGGGTTAAAGCACCGACCGACACCTTTACACACGGCGTTTGCAGAGCCACAGCCGCTCCCCAAAAGTATTGCTGTGCTGCCATCTTTTTAAAGCCAAGCTCCATCCAAGCGACATTGCGGAGCAGCAGTCCTTCGGACCAAGAGCAGCAGGCTGCCCAGACCCGTTGGGCCCCTCGCAGACCCCTCCTGGAACAATCCCCACGGAACGCTGCCCACCCATGCGCTTCCGAAATGCGGAACAGCTTTTTGAATGTATTTGGAGGGAAAAAGAGCAGCTGCCTCAGAGGGAGCGCGTGCTACTCGTGGCACAGAGACACCGGTTATAGAGCTTGGGCACCTTCTCCAGAAGAGAGGGCAGGCTCAGGGTGAGACAGACGCCAGGGATGGTAACCAGGCCATCGGTTTTAGCGTAAAAATCAGTTCTGCAGTTCAGCTCTTCCCCAATTTACGCTGAAAGAACGTCATGCTGATGCCAGGCAGCAGCTCATCCAGCTTAGTGAGGAGGCAGGGAAGTTACAGCCATGCACCATCGACCGCCGTCGTTTACAGACGAGCACTGGCACAGCTATCGTCTAAAACACACCAAAGACTAGGAAAGCCAAATTCAGGCTAAACAGCAAGAAACACCCACCTAGGCCTTCGGCATTTCCCTCTTAGTGTAGTTATCACTGTGAAAACACATCACAACACAGCTCCTCCCAAAACTCTGCTTTTAACCCTTGAGCAAGCTTGACAGGTACGTGGCAGCCTCTGCCAGCTCCTCCAGCCACCTTCTCAGACGCTGAACCCACACCAGCATGCTAACAACAAGTTTTCAACTCGTTCAAAATAGCAACATGTCAGTTTGAATCATCTAACTTGTACTTTCTCCTTTCCCACTTCCACCAGAAGGAGGCACTACAGGTACTGCGGCACCAGCTTCTCATTTTCCCCAAAAAACCCCCAGAGGCAGTAACAGCACCCAGGGTTTTTTCCCTGCTGACCCGGAGATGCTTCTGGCCATTCTGATCAACATGACGTTTAAGCTGGGCCTCAAGCCTGGAAGTCTCTTTTTGAGGCCAAGATTATGTAAAAAACCTCCTTTAACTCTGACCACGCCAGCTGCACAGCTCCGCTTTCGGGAGCGCTTTAACGGCAGGCGCCGGCCCCTCAACCTGCACGGGGTATTAGTGCAACACTGCGAGGCAGCAGCCACCCTGAGGTCACTTTTCCCACCTTCTCGGCTTTAAGAGCAACGTACTTGCCTCAGGGTGAGAAAGAGCTTTGAGGACTAATCATGTCCGCCAACAAACAGCGACTGACTTGTCCAGCGCTCTGGGCAGACCCAAGCTACGCAGCTCCCACACGTCCCCAGCAGGACCATCTTCCACCATCAGCGCCGCCCGCGAGTCACCCGTCCCTCCCGTCCCAGCCACCCCACACCCCCCGCTCCCCTCGGGGGTCAGGCAGCACCCCGCGCTCCTCTCCACTGAGGATCCCCTCCGCAAACGAGAGGCGCCAATTCTATTACAGATCAGTTTGCAAGGATAGGGCATGTTTAAAGACTGTCCCCGCCTCTGGGGACCGACAAAAGGAAAGCTCACACCCCCCCGGTCTAACAACCACTGCTTTTTCTGCTCAGGATCTAGGAGACACAAGCCCAGGCAGACTCTCTCGAATGCACAAACGGTTCCGTTTCCTGCTCAAGCTTCGGTTCAAAGCGCCACTTTCCTCCATACCTTCACGTTCATCTCGAGCAGCTTTTCACTCATAGTGCTGATGACATTCAGGTTTTTACTTTGAGACTTGTTTGCTGTGGCATTCATCGGCTTCACAGGATGGAGTCTGTAACATCGAAACAGGCTCGTGTTATTTAGCCAGCACGTGTCACACCAGCACTACACAGATCTTCAGACTAAAAGCAAATACAGCAAGAAACTGGGGAAAATTCCTGCCCTTCTCTATCTCCAGAGAGATATGACACTCAGCTTCGGGAAGACAAGGCATTTCTGTCTAAGCTATAGGCTTTTTATAAGTACACTCCAGTTCTCTTTCTACTACCTTTATTGACTTAAGGCATTGGAGATAAAGAGGCAGTAACAAGGGAAATACACCCTGAATGTCACAAAAGAAAAGGCAGGTCGGGCTACATGAGAAGGCAATACACAGCAGCAGTTACCCTGATCTCTCACGCACTAGCATTTAAGCCTGATTTTCCTAATGAGAACACATCTGTGGTTCTAGCAACATACCAAACGCTCCTACTGTCCTGGGACAAGCACATCGTACACCTTTTCCAGTCTGAACTTAGGCCATAAGCTGCCAAAAAGTGCTATCTTCATTTGCTTGAGCAGGATTTATATTGCCAATTTTAATACAGGAAGAAAATTTTACTGGTATCTCAGCAAATGCCGGCCCACAAGCGCCCTAGACCCTGGAGGGAGCTCTGCAGATAACGTACTGAGGGCTGACAGTCAGCGGCACTCTTCCTCGGACAGCAGTAGCCCCGCAGGCAGGAGGAGCTGCGGACAGCCCCGGAAAGCAGCCATGCATTCTTGGGGGAGAGAGAGGCTTTGGCTGCACCGCTTGCTGCGATTCACTGTGAGGCCAGGAGCCCAGTTTGGCCAGGAAAGGAAACAGCCCAGTTCATCAGGCTTCCTGCGACCGTTCTCCCATTTCTGGAAAATGGATGAATTGCAGTCCCTTTCCCCAGCCTGATAAAACGACCCTATTGCTTAACCTGTGACCAAGGTTCCTTAACCGCTTTGCTAAGAGGCAGCCCTGTGACGAACGGCAGGTCCCCTTGAGTGCTCTGGGTCTCCTCAGCAGCTGCACACATTTATCTGGTGCCAGCACTGATCCTGCGCTGACAGGACGGGACCCAGGCCCTGACAAAGCCCCAGGCCAGGGGAAGCGAAGGCTGGAGGACACCACGTCGCTGCAAGGGGCGGTAAATTCCTGCAGCTGGAGAGGCAGAGCTGGGCTCAGGGGAAGAACAAGCAAGGCTCACGTCAGCACTGAGACACTTTCTGTGCATTCCCCATGTTCTCTCACCTGTGCTTAGGAGACACGGTTTCACCACTCTGCTGAGTTTGGTTAGGATATGTTTCAGAGGGTGAAACCCATGCCTGAAGAAGCTTCTTCTTGCCAGAATTTCCTGCTTTATCTGCGAAGCCCTCGGCTGTTGGCTTTTTCGGAGACTCTGCTCTACGACTTGGGGCGTCAGAGGGGAGAGAATGAGAAGAAAAGTAGGGCTGGGAAGGACTTGACAGGGAGGAAGAGGAAACAGAAGGCTCAAAGAAGTCACACTCCGCACGCTCCTCAGCACCTGCACGTACTTTCAGTTCTTGTTTCTCAAAATGACTATCGTGCTCCCTGGAAGGAGACATCATACCTAAGCCTGAGTCAGCTCCCTGGTTATTGACACTGTGAACATCCACTCTGGCAGGCAGCACGGGTGGCTTGCTTGGCATGCAAGCACCAGGAGCACTTCCTCCTCCTCCTCCTCCTCCCGGGGCGGCCGGGGTTACTCGGGCTGCAGCAGAGCTACCGGCGCGCTCCCGCAGCTCCTCATCCAAAGGCACTACACCTAGGGACTGCTTTCCAGCCTCTGAAACGTTTTTATCCCCTGCAGCAACACCACGATTCTCCTGACAGTCACCCAGCAGCTCGTCATCGGAGCCTCCCTCTGGAATAACTGGGAGACTGGCCAGTTTCAAACCACGGTCTCCAGTAACGGGAAGGGCAGACTTCAGACATTCAAGTAAATCGTCACGACCTTCGTTTTCTAAACGCCTATTATTGCCGCCATCTCTGAGCGTCACTGGTGGAGCGATAGTCTCCAAGGAGCCACTTTGGGGGAGGCACCCAGGAGCACCTGAGGCTGTACCGTCAGGTAACGGGAGCCCAGGCGCTGATTGTACACCGTCGCCTGAAGAAGGCACATCACCACTGAACTCCTCAGCCTCAGAAACCGGCTGGCACTTCTTCGGCGCTAAAGACAGCCGCGGTGCTGGCTTTGGAGTGACTAACACCTCCCTGCCAGCCCTCCCTACACCCCCTTCCCGAGGGGACAGCGTGCAACCTCCCACGGTTGGTTTGGCAGGTCCTACCCGAGACAACGAGTCATTTTGATCAAGTGGCGCTGCCTGGGGTTCTAACGCGGGTGCACATTCTTCCCACCTCTCTTCACCAAAGACCTCCCGCTTCTCTTTCAGCTCACTCTCAGGGGAAGGTGGCCGTTCAGCACCGATCCCTGCCAAGAGGCTCCTACTACACTTGGAGAGAGATGCCAAGGGTTTGCTGTCCCTCGTGCAGGGTTCAGTATTTACAGCGCCTCCTTCCACACCACCCTCGACAGCGGCCTGGCTGCTCCGGGTGGGACCTACGCTGTCACTAGGGAGTCCTGACGATGGGTAACACCCTGCTTCCAGTTCACGAGCAAGCCCTGCTCGCTCTCCTGTGGCCTCTGAACCCGTACGTAACGTTTCAGTGAAGTCAGAGCGCTGCTTTCCAGGTTCCTGCCCACCCAAACCTCCATCGCCTGACGTAACACCCTCCGATCCGTCAAGGAGAAAGGACACGGATTTCCTGTTGCCTGGCTTGCTTCTTTTCAAAGAGTTCTCAACCTGAAGCTGGGGAGAACTGCACTGCTTCTTTGGAGCCAGACCAGGGGCGTCAGAAAGGGTGCCGGAAGGGTTTGATACGGCTTTGACGTTACTAGTGAAAGCCGCATCTGATGAGCTCCCTGAAGCACCGCAACCAGAGTGTTTCAGCTCAGCAGGGTGTTCTGCTGAGGAGCAGTCTTCATCAGAAGGAAGGCAGAAAGGTGAAGAACTAGCAACAGCCTTGAAGCCCGGCGCGTCTGCTTCCCACCCAAGCTTGGATACAAAGGGATTATTGTCATTAAAATGACAATCAGAGGGGAGAGAAGGCGCGGGTGGGCGAGAGACACCCCGGGAAGCCCACATATCAGAGCTTTCAGGACCCTGGCCCCACGAGCTCTGCCCCCATCCAGAAGCAAAAGGGTTGTTAGCACTACCAGAGACCTGCCCAGGAAGAGGCGCTTTGGGAACAGAGGCTGCAGGATGGTGGGACGAAGGGAAACGGGCAGTGCCTTCGGGATCCAGGGCTGTGGATGCCCTGCTCCACTCGGGAGTAAAGGGGTTCTTGCCACTCAGCAGCTCTGCAGCTAAAGGAGAAGGAGAAGACCTAAGAGATGCAGGAGAACTAGCGATGCTTTCAGAGTCTGGCACTTGGACCTTCTGTCCCGTTTTAGAAATAAAAGGATTATTGTCGCTACTGATACGGTGTACAGAAAGAAAAGCAGGCAGGGCATCAGGTGCAAAAGTGGGAAGCGTGGCTTTGGTTTCCTCCTCTGAAGACACGCCCGGTCTGCAAAAAGGGACAAAAAACTCGCATGTCACTTGCGGATGCAACACGAGGCAGGAACAGACAAGCTTTAGCACCAGACTCCATCAACTCCTAACACTGGAGATGAATTATACTCGCAAGAGACCTCAGAGCCTCTCTGACAGACTTTACGTGCTTAAAGGCGCCTTCACAAGGTGCTCAAGTGAGGTCAGAACGCTGCTGCTGCCGAGTTTGCAGAGGTTACTGCGGTAGCTGCCTTTAAGCACTCTCTCATCCTTTGCACCCCAAGCAATTTTATTAGTATGCAAGACACTCCATAGGCAAGATGTTTAAACACGAGAAGCACTGAAAATGAGGAGTTAGAGACAGACACAACACGTAGCCTTATTAGTAGGACACACCCTTATATATATAAACACACGGGTTTTATATATATATGAAGGATAAAGGAGCAGAATTTCCGAAAAAGCCTTGTGTACAAATCCACACAAACGTCCCTCGTGTTGCTGTGAACAACGCCAAAAGCAGAAGGGCTCCAAGATTAACGCTCCTGAAGACCACAGCCAAATACAGAAGAGAAAAGTAGAGATGTTAGAACTGGTGTTTCAGACCCTGGGTATGTTCGAGTTGCACAGCTTTGATAGAAGTTAGTTTTTGCAAGAGATCCAGTGAGAAAAATCACCACTACAGCACCTGCAAAGATGCCTGCACTCGGAGAGGCACTACTTGGGCATCGCTTACAAGGAACATCCCTGTATCGACCTCTTTCTCATACCAAGAAAGAACTCGGAGCTACTATCTGTTACCAAAGCACCCAGTGGCCAGCCGAAACCCCCCACGGACCCTGCAGAGCAGCTCGCTCCTGCAGCAGGCAGGCTCCCCCGCTGAGCAGCGCTGCTCTGGGGCAGGGAGCAGCCGAGCCCCAGCCTGCCCCCACCGCTGCACACGGCTATGCACCTCAGCCTCCGAGGCAAGCAGGACTGACCTGGGCTTGACGGCTTTGGTCTTCGCCGACGCAGCAGCTTTCTCAGGTTTCTGTTCTTCTTCAAAAGGGTTGAGCGGCTGCTTGTTTGCCAACACGTCCTCCGGGCGGTGATTGTCTTCTGAGCGATTCGCTCGGCTTAAATCTGCTGGAAGTTCGAGACGTTTGGCCTCTTGTTCATTCTTCTCTTCTGGAACTTTGTTTTCCTCATCCTGCAGGGTCCTGTCGGGAATATGCTCAGCACCACTGGTCTTCACCGCTTCCTTCTTCCCAGTGACCAGAGAGAGCAAGGTCGACTTTTTGTGGTCTGTTTTTTTGGTCTCTTTAACAACCTCAACACTCGGAGGAACGTCGGTTTCCAGGTACTCCTCGCTGCTAAGCAATTTGTACGACGGCAAAGTCATCGATTTAAAGGTCTCCAAGGATGCAGACCCAGACAAAGCATAACTAGGAGATGTTCCTCCCATCTCTTCAGGTCCTCTAGTGGATCTGGAAGACAGGTTCTCTTCTGAAGCAAAGAGCTGCTTCCTCCTGAAGTTGTGAGGAGAGGGGGAAGAGGCTGGGCTGTTGTCCTTCATCGTGCTCTCTTCCATATAAACGTGACTGCCGTTGATACACAGACTAGACTTGGAAACGGGATCGCTTTTGGCTTTAAGGCCGCTGAATAAAGAGAGCCCTTCTTTCTTGGTGTGATTAGTGGCTACTTGGTTTAGCTGCCTGCTGTCCAAAGTTGCTGTTTTACGAGATTTAAATACAGGAGAAGGAGAGGAGCTCTCTTCCAGGGCATTTCCAAAGGCTTCTGGGAAAAAAAAAAAAGGGGGAGAAATTCAAGATGCAAGAGCACCCTTTCCTCTCACACTCACTGCTGCTGCTTCAGAGCCATTAGCGGATGGCAGCAACACAAACACCGCAC